TCTCCTGCCTCAGCCTCCTGAGTAGCTGGGATTACAGGCATGCACCACCATGCCTGGCTAATTTTGTATTTTTGGTAGAGACGGGCTTTCTCCACGTTGGTCAGGCTGGTCTTGAACTTCTAACCCCAGGTGATCCGCCAGCCTTGGCCTCCCACAGTGCTGGCATTACAGGCGTGAATCACTGTGCCCGGCCTGGAAGTTGCCATTTTGTAGGTCCAAAATAGTTAATTAGTGGTTTCATATAATTCATCCTATATCTAAAAGTAGAATTGCTGGATCAAAGGGTAGTTGTATGTTCAGCTTTAGAAGATAGGTATTTCTAAACATTTTTTCAGAGTGCCCTGCCAGCTATGTATGAGAGTTCCATTTTCCCCAAATACTTGGTATTATCAGTCTATTAAATTTAAGCCATCTGACTGTACAGAGCTCATTTATGTACTAATGTTTACATTTTGCCTCACAGAAAATAGATGCACAGGCTATTGAAGAATTCTACGGGTTGACATCAGATATCTCAAAGAACTCTGAGTCTGGTTACATCCTTTTCTATCAGTCTCGGGACTGAGGGGGAACCGTGATGAAGAGATACTTTCTGCCTCATTTCTTCTCTGGTTATTTTGGAAAGGATCAAGCACTGATTTTTCAAGAAAAGAGAAATGCAGGAAGCTCAGGGGGCAGTAGCACACTTTGCACACGATAAAGCAAAGACGATGGATTGACAAGCCCTTCCGATCATGGTAGTTGGTTTATTTGCTCAGGTATCATGCTGTCTGTACAGTTCCATTCAACAAGGAGGTGAAATCAGAGATACCAGCTCCTCTTGTAAAACAGCCTTCCAGTCATTGACACGCATTTTCTCTTTATTAATTGCACCAATAATGCTTTGAATTCCTTGGGAGTGCAGTAGAAAGAATCGGGATCTGTGCTGTATTGATAAGGAGGTGATGTCGAACACACTGCATAAATTTGCCTGGTTCAATGTGTATAGAAGCATATTCGGTGTCTTTTCAAGAGTCAACCAGAAATACTTTTGGGCCCAACACTTGCAGTTGCCTTCCTGATGTAAAACCTAACATGCTAGATAATCCAGTGTCGGGAAGACAAAGATGTTTTGCTTCTCTGAAGAAGCTTATAATAATATACAGTGTATGTATATGTAGGGAGCAATTGGTCAAAAGTGGCTTTTTGTTTCCCCAAGGGGAAA